ACTCCGCTGTCCTGGCGTCGTGGGGGAGCTTGTTCCACCATTGGGGTGCCAGAGCAGCAAATAGCTTTGACTGGGCTGAGCGGGAACTGTGCTTCCGTAGAGGTAGGGGAGCTAGCAGGCCAGAGGTGGATGAACGTAGTGCCCTCGTTTGGGTGTAGGGTCTGATCAGAGCCTGAAGATAAGGAGGTGCCATTCCCCTCACAGCTCCGTAGGCAAGCACCATGGTCTTGTAGTAGATGCGAGCCTCAACTGGAAGCCAGTGGAGTGTGCGGAGGAGCGTGGTGACATGAGAGAACTTGGGAAGGTCGAACACCAGACGGGCTGCGGCGTTCTGGATAAGTTGTAGTGGTTTAATGGCACAGGCAGGGAGCCCAGCCAACAGCGAGTTGCAGTAATCCAGACGGGAGATGACAAGTGCCTTGATTAGGACCTGTGCCGCTTTCTGTGTAAGGTAGGGTCGTACTCTGCAAATGTTGTAGAGCATGAACCTGCAGGATCGGCTCACTGCTTTGATGTTAGCAGAGAACGACAGGGTGTTGTCCAGGGTCACGCCAAGGCTCTTTGCACTCTGGGAGGAGGACACAATGGAGTTGTCAACCCTGATGGCGAGATCATGGAGCGGGCAGTCCTTCCCAGGGAGGAAGATCAGCTCCGTCTTGCCGAGGTTCAGCTTGAGGTGGTGATCCGACATCCACACTGAAATGTCTGCCAGACATGCAGAGATGCGATTCGCCACCTGATTATCAGAAGCGGGAAAGGAGAAAATTAATTGTGTGTTGTCTGCGTAGCAATGATAGGAGAGACCATGTGAGGATATGACAGAGCCAAGTGACTTGTTGTATAGAGAGAATAGGAGAGGGCCTAGAACTGAGCCCTGGGGGACACCAGTGGTGAGAGCACGTGGTGCGGAGACAGATACTCGCCACGCCACCTGGTAGATGCGACCTGTCAGGTAGGACGCAATCCAAGAGTGAGCGGCGCCGGAGATGCCCAACTCGGAGAGGGTGGAGAGGAGGATCTGATGGTCCACAGTATCAAAGGCAGCAGATAGGTCTAGAAGGACGAGAGCAGAGGAGAGAGAGTTAGCTTTAGCAGTGCGGAGAGCCTCCGTGACACAGAGAAGAGCAGTCTCAGTTGAATGACTGGGGCGGCAGGTAGCTCAGTGGTTAAGAGCGTTGTGCCAGTAACCGAAAGGTCGCTGGTTCTAATCCCCGAGCCAACTAGGTGAAAAATGTGTCGATGTGCCCTTGAGCAACGCACTTAACCCTAATTGCTCCTGTAAGTTGCTCTGGATAGGAGCGTCTGCTAAATGACAAAAAAAAAATAACTGAAAAAAAAGTATTGAAACCTGACTGGTTTGGATCAAGAAGGTCATTCTGAGAGAGATAGCAGGAGAGTTGGCTAGAGACGGCACGCTCAAGAGTTTTGGAGAGAAAAGAAAGGGATACTGGTCTGTAGTTGTTGACATCGGAGGGATCGAGTGTAGGTTTTTTGAGGAGGGGTGCAAATCTCGCTCTCTTGAAGACGGAAGGGACATGGCCAGTGGTCAAGGATGAGTTGATGAGCGAGGTGAGGTAAGGGAGAAGGTCACCGGAGATGGTCTGGAGAAGAGAGGAGGGGATAGGGTCAAGCAGACAGGTTGTTGGGCGGCCGGCCGTCACAAGTCGCAAGATTTCATCTGGAGAGAGAGGGGAGAAAGAAGTCAAAGCATAGGGTAGGGCAGTGTGAGCAGGACCAGCGGTGTCATTTGACTTAATAAATGAGGATCGGATGTCGTCAACCTTCTTTTCAAAATGGTTGACGAAGTCATCCACAGAGAGGGAGGAGGGAGGAGGAGGAGGAGGAGGATTCAGCAGGGAGGAGAAGGTGGCAAAGAGCTTCCTAGGGTTAGAGGCAGTGGCTTTAGCAGCGGAAACAGAGGAAGAGAATGTAGAGAGGAGGGAGTGAAAAGATGACAGGTCCGCAGGGAGTCTAGTTTTCCTCAATTTCCGCTCAGCTGCCCGGAGCCCTGTTCTGTGAGCTCGCAATGAGTCGTCAAGCCACGGAGCAGGAGGGGAGGACAGAGCCGACCGGGAGGATAGGGGACATAGAGAGTCTAAAGATGCAGAAAGGGAGGAGAGGAGGGTTGAGGAGGCAGAATCAGGAGATCGGAGGGAGAAGGATTTAGCAGAGGGAAGAGATGATAGGATGGAAGAGGAGAGAGTAGCGGGAGAGAGAGAGCGAAGGTTGCGAGGGCACATTACCATCTGAGTAGGGGCAGAGTGAGTAGTGTTGGAGGAGAGCGAGAGAGAAAAGGATACAAAGTAGTGGTCGGAGACTATTAGTAGAAGAACAGCATCTCGTAAAGATGAGGTCAAGCGTATTGCCTGCCTTGTGAGTAGGGGGGGACGGTGAGAGGGTGAGGTCAAAAGACGAAAGGAGTGGAAAGAAGGAGGCAGAGAGAAATGAGTCAAAGGCAGACGTAGGGAGGTTAAAGTCACCCAGAACTGTGAGGGGTGAGCCATTCTCAGGAAAGGAACTCATCAAGGCGTCAAGCTCATTGATGAACTCTCCAAGGGAACCTGGAGGGCGATAAATGACAAGGATGTTAAGCTTGAATGGGCTAGTGACTGTGACAGCATGGAATTCAAATGAGGAGATAGACAGATGGGTTAGGGGAAAAATTGAGAATGTCCACTTGGGAGAGATGAGGACTCCTGTGCCACCACCCCTCTGACCAGATGCTCTCGGGGTATGCGAGAACACATGGTCAGACGAGGAGAGAGCAGTAGGAGTTGCAGTGTTTTCAGTGGTAAACCATGTTTCCGTCAGCGCCAGGAAGTCGAGGGACTGGAGGTTAGCATAGGCTGGGATGAAGTCAGCTTTGTTGGCCGCAGAACAGCAGTTCCAGAGGCTGCCAGAGACCTGGAACTCCACGTGGGTCGTGCACGCAGGGACCACCAGAATACCCACGTGGTGTGAAGCGTTTGTATGGCCTGTGCAGAGAGGAGAGAACAGGGATAGACAGACACATAGTTGACAGGCTACAGAGAAAGGCTACAATAATGCAAAGGAGATCGGAATGAAATGAACTAAACATCTGGGAAAGCAAGAGAGCGGGGCCTCCCTCACTTACGTTTCACTGAAACACTCAAATATAACTCTCCCAACTTCCACTTTAGAAATTATAATTGTTATAAACTACAGCGGTTCAATGTTTCTAGGAATAGACTCTAACTTACTTTATTCAGCTAGGTAACTTGGTACACCGAATCATATGACGCCAAAGCCAACTAGCATGCCAGCCTCCAATAACACGGTTTAGCACCAATACTCGGTTACAACAAACCACCAGTGTGTTAACACGCCAAGCAGATCATTTGTGTCCGTGTCTAACATTGTGTAAAGTTTTGGGGTGGTTTTGACAGTTTGAGTGAGTACGTCATCAACTTATTCAGCCAGTTAGTTAGCTAGAATAGTTAGCATACTAGCTAGCCATTGCTCTCTGCCAACGAACTAACCCCTCCTCCCACGGCACGAACACACAGAGAGCCAAGCTAAGGTTAGCTAGTCACCCATGTCCCGAATTCCCTTGAACGACTCTGGTTACCAGTATGTAAAAACCAAACAAAAATAAATGTAGGTTATAACTTACCCTTAGCAGCTACTGTTAGCCAGTTAAGTGCAAAGCTAGCCACTGAATCGATTCAGCCAGTTCGCGTCTGTCCCAACGGAGAGAAAGCGTCTCCAAATATTAAAGCTAGGTCGTTCCAGCTATTGTTTAGTTAGCTATCCATGAAGTAACTAGCTAGCTACATTTCGAGTACAGTAGCTACTAACTACCTAACGTTAACGCTTCAGATAATGAGGTTAGAAAAACAGCTGAATGGTAGGTAGCTATCTGGCATAATTACAGGTACACTTAAGTGTGGAATAACATTGGAAACAACTATCCACAGTTGCTAATAGTTACCAGTAGCTACCCGCTAGCTAGCTAGCTTTATTGGTCCAGGTAGTGAGTCAGCTAGCCTCATGCTTCACCGGGTCGAGCCGAATACAATACTTACCTACAATAACCTACGATAACTACCTAGATAAACTACCTACAATGCCTAACTACAATACCTACCTACAATCTAAATACATGGTTTAAGCTTTACTCGACACCATATGAGCCAAGCTTACCTCCCGCCAGAGAGAGACACAACCTCACCCGACAACCTTCGACCTCCGTCGCTGTCCCAGGCCATGGGTGACAGTAGACAGTAGATAAGTGTTAATAAAGGTCATGATAAAGGTTATGAAGGTTAATAAAGGTCATGATAAAGGTTATGAAGGTTAATAAAGGTCATGATAAAGGTTATGAAGGTTAATAAAGGTCATGATAAAGGTTATGAAGGTTAATAAAGGTCATGATAAAGGTTATGAAGGTTAATAAAGGTCATGATAAAGGTTATGAAGGTTAATAAAGGTCATGATAAAGGTTATGAAGGTTAATAAAGGTCATGATAAAGGTTATGAAGGTTAATAAAGGTCATGATAAAGGTTATGAAGGTTAATAAAGGTCATGATAAAGGTTATGAAGGTTAATAAAGGTCATGATAAAGGTTATGAAGGTTAATAAAGGTCATGATAAAGGTTATGAAGGTTAATAAAGGTCATGATAAAGGTTATGAAGGTTAATAAAGGTCATGATAAAGGTTATGAAGGTTAATAAAGGTCATTCTCTCTTCTTTTATTACATTTACATTAATGTTTTGGTCATTGAGCAGACACTCTTATCCAGAGTGACTTACAGTCAGTGCATTCAACCATGGTAGGTAAAATAACCACATATCACAGTCATTGCATTCAACCATGGTAGGTAAAATAACCACATATCACAGTCATTGCATTCAACCATGGTAGGTGAAATAACCACATATCTCAGTCATTGCAAGTAAAAAACGTTCTTGAAAACTACACATACTGTTTTCTCTGGTTTGTTGACAGGGTTCCGTGGCCTCCACATCAACGATCAGATGACGCTCATCCAGTACTCCTGGATGAACCTCATGGTGTTCTCTCTGGGCTGGAGATCTTTCCAGAACGTCACCAGTGAATACTTGTACTTCGCTCCTGATCTCATCCTCAGCCAGTAAGTTGTGTCAATGTTCTATATTAATCTGAATTGAATTATTAAAAACCTTTTTTTTTTTTTTTTTTTTCATTTATCCAACTATTTAGTTAAACAATAAAATCCCATTACGATATATCTCAATTTAAAATATTGTATTGTCTCCCAGGGATCGTATGAGGAGATCTCCAATCTATGATCTGTGTCTGGCCATGCAGTTCATCCCTCAGGAGTTCACCAGTCTCCAGGTCACCAAAGAAGAGTTCCTCTGTATGAAAGCCATCATGATTCTCAACACTGGTAAACACATCACAACACATCACAGTCCCACTTCCTCAACACTGGTAAACACATCACAACACATCACAGTCCCACTTCCTCTTTAAAACACTACTGATGACCCTCCGCTAACCTTCCTGGCCCAACAGACTCCTGTTAGGATCAAATAAGAACAAACAGAAGACATCTGAAGCAGATGGTAAAGTGTTGGTTACACTATTATCTCTGTCCAAAATGACACCCTATCACATATAGCCCAGGCTCTGGTCTAAAGTAGTGCACTATATAGGGAATAGGGTGCCATTTGGGACACATCTATTGTCACTAGACCTAGAGATATACAGTGTTTCATAACGTGTTGTTGAACTGGGGAAAACGGACTGGGACAAGGGAGGATTTATGAAGCAGATGTTATTAAGTAGCAGTTTGACATTGACCTTTACATGAACAGAGACTGAACCCATCGAAAACAAGTTCACGGTCAAGTCTCAAGAGATCCAAGGGACTTCCACGTATGTTCTAAAAAGTGAAAACAGATTTTATGAGAGTAGTTGGCATTTCCTCAAAGTTAAAGTGAAGTAAAACCAAGATTAAGCTAAAGATTAAGATTAAGCAAAAATACATAGTACGCAGACAGTGATGTTGTAAATCAAAAAAACAAATTGTCACAATTTATGTCACTGTCTCTCTCACTTTCTCCCTGGTACTTCAGGAGAACACAGAGTAGGCTTTGTGGCTGCGTATTTACGCTGCATATTTCACACTGCATATTTACACTGCATATTTCACACTGCGTATTTACACTGCATAATTACACTGCATATTTACACTGCATATTTCACACAGCATATTTACACTGCATATTTACACTGCATATTCCACACTGCATATTCCACACTGCATATTTACACTGCATATTTACACTGCATATTTCACACTGCATATTTCACACTGCATATTTACACTGCATATTTCACACTGCGTATTTACACTGCATAATTACACTGCATATTTACACTGCATATTTCACACAGCATATTTACACAGCATATTTACACTGCATATTCCACACTGCATATTCCACACTGCATATTCCACACTGCATATTCCACACTGCATATTTACACCGCATATTTACACTGCATATTTCACACTCTGCATATTTCACACTGCATATTTCACACTGCATATTTACACTGCATAATTACACTGCATATTTACACTTCATATCTACTCTACATATTTCACACTGCATATTTCACACTGCATATTCCACACTGCATATTCCACACTGCATATTTACACTGCATATTTACACTGCATATTTCACACTGCATATTTCACACTGCATATTTCACACTGCATATTTCACACTGCATATTTACACTGCATATTTACATTTCATATTTACTCTACATATTTACACTGCATATTTCACACTGCATATTTCACACTGCATATTTCACACTGCATAAGTACACTGCATATTTACACTGCATATCTACACTGCATATTTACACTGCATATCTACACTGCATATTTCCTCACTCATGTGGGAATTAAAATTCCCTCAGGAGAAATAAAGTTCTTCTAAATCTAATGGTCCATTTAGATTGAAATGATGCGATACGATTAAAGGCCCAGTGCAGTCAAAAATGTAATTGTCCTGTTTTATATATATTTTTTTACACTATGATGTTGGAATAATACTGTGAAATTGTGAAAATTATGATAATGCCCTTGTAGTGTAAGGGCTGTTTGAAAAGACTGCCTGAAATGTTTGCCTGTTTTGATGGAATGAAATATTGGCCTTCCATGGAGACATCACCTTGTGGTAAATTAGTTCAATTAATTACACTAATAAGAAAGAGAGTTCCAAACCTCTCTGCCAATAACAGCTACAGTAATTTTCCCCTTCTCACCCAGACAGTCCTAGCAAAATTCTTGCGTGAGAAATTGCTATTTGCTAAGAAGGTATTTTTGTTTCTTTTTGACAATTTTAATTGAAAACAATCACAGTAAGGTACTTAATTGTTACCCAGAAATGTTTTGACGTTGAGATAAAAACGCCTGCATTGGACCTTTATGCACAGTAGCGTCTCCGTGAATTAGAGTTAACCCGGACGATGCTGGGCCAATTGTGCGCCGCCCGATGGGACTCCCGATCACGGCCGGTTGTGATAGAGCCCGGGATTGAACCCAGGTCAGTAGAGACGCCTCCAGCACTGCGACGCAGTGCCTTAGACCGCTGCACCACTGTATAGGGAATAGGGTGCCGTTTTGGATGAAGCCATAATGTTCCCGGGTTGATGACCCATTGTCCCTTGTCTCTCTCCATAGTTCCGTTGGAGGGCTTAAAGAGCCAGGCCCAGTTTGAGGAGATGAGACAGAACTACATTCGGGAGCTGACCAAGGCTATCCATCTGAAGGAGAGAGGCATGATGGCCTCCTCTCAGCGCTTCTACCATCTCACTAAGCTCATGGATTCCATGCATGAGGTACAGGACATTATGTCACTGCTCTATCACCGGCCCCGTTTATACCTGCTCCTAACATGCGTCCACTGTCCACATCCTGATTGTGTCCACATCTTTAGACAGGGTGTAGACAAATCAAATGCGATCTGATTTCGATTAGAGATCTTCCTGACCATCTCCGGAGGTAGTCGAAAGACGCACCTTGTATGGATATCCTTAAAGTGCAAACGAATCCGGACAACCAAAGCGTATACATTTGGCCAACAATCACGGGCCCTGAAAAAAAAAAATCACACCAGCCAGTTAAATAAAGATCATCAAATAAAGATAGGCCTATTTATGAAGAGATATCGTCCCGAATGAGAAAAAAAGGGTTCACCCGTTCCCAAAATGCTATATTTGAAAACATCATAGAAAGGCTAAGGACTGTAAGAGAAGAATTTAAACTGAACTACAAATGTATTGGGGAGGCAGGGAAACTACGATGGAGGCCTCAGGTCCCCTGAACCTTTAGATCAGGGTATAATGTGGTCTAATGTTCCCCTGTACCTTTAGATCAGGGTATAATGTGGTCTAATGTTCCCCTATACCTTTAGATCAGGGTATAATGTGGAGGTCTAATGTTCCCCTGTACCTTTAGATCAGGGTATAATGTGGAGGTATAATGTTCCCCTGTACCTTTAGATCAGGGTATAATGTGGAGGTATAATGTTCCCCTGTACCTTTAGATCAGGGTATAATGTGGTCTAATGTTCCCCTGTACCTTTAGATCAGGGTATAATGTGGAGGTCTAATGTTCCCCTGTACCTTTAGATCAAGGTATAATGTGGTCTAATGTTCCCCTGTACCTTTAGATCAAGGTATAATGTGGTCTAATGTTCCCCTGAACCTTTAGATCAGGGTATAATGTGGAGGTCTAATGTTCCCCTGTACCTTTAGATCAGGGTATAATGTGGTCTAATGTTCCCCTGTACCTTTATATCAAGGTATAATGTGGTCTAATGTTCCCCTGTACCTTTAGATCAAGGTATAATGTGGTCTAATGTTCCCCTGAACCTTTAGATCAGGGTATAATGTGGTCTAATGTTCCCCTGAACCTTTAGATCAGGGTATAATGTGGAGGTCTAATGTTCCCCTGAACCTTTAGATCAGGGTATAATGTGGTCTAATGTTCCCCTGTACCTTTAGATCAGGGTATAATGTGGAGGTCTAATGTTCCCCTGTACCTTTAGATCAAGGTATAATGTGGTCTAATGTTCCCCTGTACCTTTAGATCAAGGTATAATGTGGAGGTCTAATGTTCCCCTGTACCTTTAGATCAGGGTATAATGGGGTCTAATGTTCCCCTGTACCTTTAGATCAGGGTATAATGTGGTCTAATGTTCCCCTGTACCTTTAGATCAGGGTATAATGTGGAGGTCTAATGTTCCCCTGTACCTTTAGATCAGGGTATAATGTGGAGGTCTAATGTTCCCCTGTACCTTTAGATCAGGGTATAATGTGGAGGTCTAATGTTCCCCTGTACCTTTAGATCAGGGTATAATGTGGAGGTCTAATGTTCCCCTGTACCTTTAGATCAGGGTATAATGTGGAGGTCTAATGAACGGTGGGCAGGTGGTGAATAGTCTATTTCAGTTGCTATATGAGATATGAAAATCATACAGTGGGATTATAATGCAATCCTTTTCGATGTTATTATATTATATTCTGTGAATCTTTTAGCATTTTCCAGCTATCAATAAAGTGCAGAAGATGTCCAAACTGATGTGTAAAGGCGATAACCAGCTGGCGAATCGCATCTCTGCATGTCTGGCAGACATATCAGTGTGGATGACGGATCACCACCTCAAGCTGAACCTCGGCAAGACGAAGCTGCTCTTCCTCCCGGGGAAGGACTGCCCGTTCCATGATCTCGCCATCACGGTTGACAACTCCGTTGTGTCCTCCTCCCAGAGTGCAAAGAGCCTTGGCGTGACCCTGGACAACACCCTGTCGTTCTCCGCTAACATCAAGGTGGTGACCCGATCCTGTAGGTTCATGCTCTACAACATTCGGAGAGTACGACCCTGCCTTACACAGGAAGCGACACAGGTCCTAATCCAGGCACTTGTCATCTCCCGTCTGGATTACTGCAACTCGCTGTTGGCTGGGCTCCCTGCCTGTGCCATTAAACCCCTACAACTCATCCAGAATGCCGCAGCCCGTCTGGTGTTCAACCTTCCCAAGTTCTCTCACGTCACCCCGCTCCTCCGCACACTCCACTGGCTTCCAGTTGAAGCTCGCATCTGCTACAAGACCATGGTGCTTGCCTACGGAGCTGTGAGGGGAACGGCACCTCCGTACCTTCAGGCTCTGATCAGTCCCTACACCCAAACGAGGGCATTGCGTTCATCCACCTCCGGCCTGCTGGCTCCCCTACCTCTGCGGAAGCATAGTTCCCGCTCAGCCCAGTCAAAACTGTTCGCTGCTCTGGCACCCCAATGGTGGAACAAGCTCCCTCACGACGCCAGGACAGCGGAGTCACACACCACCTTCCGGAGACACTTGAAACCCCACCTCTTAAAGGAATACCTGGGATAGGATAAAGTAATCCTTCTACCCCCCCCTTACCTCACCCCCCCAAAAAAAAAAAAAAAAAAAAAAACATATTGTAAAGTGGTTATCCCACTGGCTATAAGGTGAATGCACCAATTTGTAAGTCGCTCTGGATAAGAGCGTCTGCTAAATGATGTAAATGTAATAGCGTTCTGTAAGCATGAGCGAGGCCACTGTCCAATATGATGTAGGATGAGCGAGGCCACTGTCCAATATGATGTAGGCGTCAATATGAAGATCTCTTTATGCTCCTTCTAGATGTCCACTTCATTCCTTTATAAAGCCATCTGCTTCACATGCCTCTCCTTAGCACGACTTGCTATAGTCTATCTAATTGAGGTTACGATAGTGAAGTATCACTGATCAATGATTTGGAGGAAACTAAACCACGGTCATTCTCCCAGCATGCCACTTTTTTTTCCCTTTGGTACTGTTGAGGCTAAAGGTTATTACAATAGAATATAATATAAAGACAACGTCATCCAAACGTTAAGAACCACCCGGTTCAAACCTGTTTGGATAAGGTGTTGCGTCATTCGGAGATGCACTTTGTAGCCTACTGTGTAAATGAACCTGTTTGTGTTTCTACTGTGTAACTGAACCTGTTTGTGTTTCTACTGTGTAACTGAACCTGTTTGTGTTTCTACTGTGTAACTGAACCTGTTTGTGTTTCTACTGTGTAACTGAACCTGTTTGTGTTTCTACTGTGTAGCTGAACCTGTTTGTGTTTCTACTGTGTAACTGAACCTGTTTGTGTTTCTACTGTGTAACTGAACCTGTTTGTGTTTCTACTGTGTAACTGAACCTGTTTGTGTTTCTACTGTGTAACTGAACCTGTTTGTGTTTCTACTGTGTAACTGAACCTGTTTGTGTTTCTACTGTGTAACTGAACCTGTTTGTGTTTCTACTGTGTAACTGAACCTGTTTGTGTTTCTACTGTGTAACTGAACCTGTTTGTGTTCTACTGTGTAACTGAACCTGTTTGTGTTCTACTTGTACTGAACCTTTTTGTGTTTCTACTCTGTAACTGAACCTGTTTGTGTGTCTACTGTGTAGCTGAACCTGTTTGTGTTTCTACTGGTGTAACTGAACCTGTTTGTGTTTCTACTGTGTAAACTGAACCTGTTTTGTGTTTCTCAACTGTGAACTGAACTGTTTGTGTTTCTACTGTGGTAACTGAACCTGTTTGTGTTCTACTCTGTAACTGAACCTGTTTGTGTTTCTACTGTGTAACTGAACCTGTTTGTGTTTTCTAACTGTGTACTGAACCTGTTTGTGTTTCTACTGGTGTAACTGAACCTGTTTGTGTTTCTACTGTGTAACTGAACCTGTTTGTGTTTCTACTGTGTAACTGAACCTGTTTGTGTTTCTACTGTGTAACTGAACCTGTTTGTGTTTCTACTCTGTAACTGAACCTGTTTGTGTTTCTACTGTGTAGCTGAACCTGTTTGTGTTTCTACTGTGTAACTGAACCTGTTTGTGTTTCTACTGTGTAACTGAACCTGTTTGTGTTTCTACTGTGTAACTGAACCTGTTTGTGTTTCTACTGTGTGCCTTAAGGCCTAAGGGGCATTAAACTGTGCATTAATACTCTGAATATTTATTTGTACAGCTATGGACAGGTCTAGGTTATCGGGATCGTAGCCTATTACAGCTATGGACAGGTCTAGGTTATCGGGATCGTAGCCTATTACACCCAGTCGTAAATCATTGGATAAAAGTTTCAGGTATTATGACCATGATTTGTTGAGGATAAAGCGTTGACATGTTTACCCCTCCCCTATCTCTTCCCCTCCCTCCCCCATCTCTTCCCCTCCCTATCCTCCTCTCTTCCCCTCCCTCTCCTCCTCTCTTCCCCTCCCTCTCCTCCTCTCTTCCCCTCCCTCTCCTCCTCTCTCCCTCCTCCTCTCTACCCCTCCCCTACTCCTCTTCCCCTCCCTCTCCTCCTCTTTTCCTTCCCCTCCCTCTCCTCTCTCTTCCCCTCCCTCTCCTCCTCTCTTCCCCTCCCTCTCTCCTCCTACGCTACCCCTCCTCCTCTCTTCCCCTCCCCCTTTCCTCCTCTCTTCCCCTCCCCCTCCTGCCTCTCTACCCCTCCCCTCTCCCCTCTCTTCCCCTCCCTCTCCTCCTCTCTACCCCTCCCCCCATCTCTTCCCCTCCCCTCTCCTCCTCTCTTCCCTCCCTCTCCTCCTCTCTACCACCCTCTCCCTCCCATCTCTTCCCCTCCCTCTCCCCTCTCTCTCCCCTCCCTCTCCTCCTCTCTAACCCCCTCCCCCATCTCTTCCCCTCCCTCTCCTCCTCTCTTCCCCTCCCTCTCCTCCTCTCTACCACCCCTTCCCCATCCTCTTCCCCTCCCCCTCCTCCTCTCTACCCCTCCCCCATCTCTTCCCCCTCCCTCTCCTCCTCTCTACCCCTCACCATCTCTTCCCCTCCCCCTCCTCCTCTCTTTCCCTCCCTCTCCTCCTCTCTACCCCTCCCCCATCTCTTCCCCTCCCTCTCCTCCTCTCTTCCCCTCCCCCTCCTCCTCTCTACCCCATCCCCCCATCTCTTCCCCTCCCTCTCCTCCTCCTAACTACCTACCTAACCCTCTCTCTCTTCCCCTCCCCCTCCTCCTCTCTTCCCCTCCCTCTCCTCCTCTCTTTCCCCTCCCCTCTCCTCCGCTCTACTACCCCCTCCCTCTCCTCCTCCCCTCCCTCTCCCTCCTCTCTTCCCCTCCCTCTCCCTCTCTTCCCCTCCCTCTCCTCCTCTCTTCCCCTCCCTCTCCTCCCTCTAACACTACCCCTCCTCCTCTCTTCCCCTCCCCCTCCTCCTCTCTTCCCCTCCCTCTCCTCCTCTCTAACCCCTACCCATCTCTTCTTCCCCTCCCTCTCCTCCTCTCCTAACCTCTACTAGACCCTACCAACCCTCCCCCATCTCTTCCCCTCCCCCCTCCCCCTCTCTACCCCTCCCCCTCCTTCTCTTCCCCTCCCTCCCTCTCCTCCTCTCAAAACCCCTCCCCCATCTCTTCCCCTCCCCCTCCTCCTCCTCTCTTTCCCTCCCTCCCTCCTCCTTCTTACCTACCCTCCCCCATCTCTTCCCCTCCCTCTCCTCCTCTCTTCCCCTCCCTCTCCTCCTCTCTCTACCCCCCCCCTCCCCCCTCTTTTCCCTTTTCCCTCCCCTCCCTCTCCTCCTCTCTTCCCCCTCCCCCCTCCTCCTCCTCTTTCCCCTCCCTCTTCCCCCATCTCTTCCCCTCCCTCTCCTCCTCTCTACCCCCTCTCCCCTCTCTTCACTCCCCTCCTCCCCCTCTCTCCCCCCATCTCTCTCCTTTCCCCCATCTTTTCCCCCTCCCTCTCCTCCTCCTCTTAAAACCCTCCCCCAGATTGTAAGAAGGTGAACCTGTACTGTCTCAGTACCTACATCCAGGCTGACGCCATGAAGGTTGAGTTCCCTGAAATGATGTCAGAGGTCATCTCCTCCCAGCTCCCCAAGGTTCTGGCCGGTATGGTCAAGACCCTCCTCTTCCACGCCAAGTGACCAATCAGAGAAATTAACCAAACCTGCACCTCAGGTCAAGCGCCTCCTCTTCCATGCCAAGTGACCAATCAGAGGAGAGAACCAAACCTGCACCGCAAAGCACCATGGGAGAATAGAAGATACCGAAGAGTTGAATTAATATTCTATTAACGTCATGAAATATCGACCAACATTTTATGTTGATATGACGATAGGTCTTTGCCCGGTGGGTGGTATCATATCTTTGAAACTAAGAAAATGTTTTGGGGAGGTATTATTTAGACCAAGTTAAACGTGAAGGTTTTGGGGAGGTGTTATTTGGACCAAATTAAACGTGAAGGTTTTGGGGAGGTGTTATTTGGACCAAGTTAAACGTGAAGGTTTTGGGGAGGTGTTATTTGGACCAAGTTAAACGTGAAGGTTTTGGGGAGACTTTTTTGGACCAAGTTAAACATTAAGGTTTTGGGGAGGTATTATTTGGACCAAGTCAAATGTGAAGGTTTTGGGTAAGTATTATTTTGACCAAGTTAAATGTGAAGGTTTTGGGGAGGTATTATTTGGAACGAGTTAAACGTGAAAGTTTTGGGGAGGTATTATTTGGACCAAGTTAAACATTAAGATTTTGGGGAAGCATTATTTGGACCAAGTTAAACGTGAATGTTTTGGGGAGGTGTTATTTGGACCAAGTTAAACGTGAAGGTTTTGGGGAGGTATTATTTGGACCAAGTTAAACATGAAGGTTTTGGGGAGGTATTATTTGGACCAAGTTAAACATGAAGGTTTTGGGGAGGTATTATTTGGACCAAGTTAAACGTGAATGTTTTGGGGAGGTGTTAGTTGGGATTTATTTATTTTTGTGGCAGAATGATTCCCTCTCCAAGGTCTGTCTGGCCTGGCTGAAGTACAATAGGCCTAACAGCTGGCAAAGATGTTCCATCCTCCAGCCAGACCTCCTCTTAGAACTGTGGTGAATCCATCCAAATATTATTAATGTGCCTCCCTTACCAATAATTCACTCTTATCCTTTGAGGTGGTGGAAACTTGTGTATAGAAGTTGTGCCAGTGTTTTTACTTTGTGAGAATTACTGTTGTGCTAGACTTGTAAGAGAGCTAGGTTACGTCCCAAATGGCACCCTATTCCCAACATAGTGCACTACGTTTGACCAGTGCGCCATGGGACCTGGTTGAAAGTAGTGCACTATGTAGGGAATAGGGTGCTGTTTGAGACGCAAGCTTAAAACTGGTATATCCAGTTTTGCTGTTTGTGTTTGTTTTCAGTTACATACATTTCACACTCCCTGCCTCATGGCTGGGCAGGCCTTTATACATCTCAAGTTCTGCAAGTTACATTTTCATACAAAATACACAATGTCATTCTATTTAATGTACCATTAAATGAGATAACCCCTGTATTTTTTATCTCATTGAGTTAACATCTCTTTTAGAAGAGATACCTGTAAAGGGAGTACAAGAAGATATCGCAGAAATGTGGAAAAAATAAATGTTCCAGTGCTCTACGATAAGGAAATACCATCTGGACCCCCTCCCTGATCCACAAGATAAAGACATAGACATAGAAATTGAGAGAGACAGTAGACAGAGACAGAGACAGAAGAGAGAGAGAGAGAGAAGAGAGAGAGAGAGAGAGAGAGGAGAGGGACAAGAGAGAAGAGAGAAAGGAGAGACAACAGAGCGGAATGGAGGAGAGATAGGAAAGTATAGATATAGATCGAGATAGAGAGAGAGAGATAATAGGAGAGCAGAGAGGAAGAGATAGAGAGAGAATAGAGAGAGATAGAGATCGAGAGGACGATAGCAGATAGCGACTCGCGAGTAACGTATAGCGATATAGAGAGATATATCTAGAGAGAGGAGATAGCATGAGAGAACTCCGATCTCGCGCTCTATCTCTACTCTCCTCTCTCCTCCATCCTCTTCTCTTCTCTCGATCCTCTATTAGCTATAGATGTGCTAGCGAGCTCTCGATCTCGCTCTACGAGGAGCGAGCGCGCGCTACATCTCTCTCTCTGGGTACAGAGTCCCGCGAGGAAAGTATCTCCCTCTGTGGCTCTGTCTCCCTTCGCGCTTCTTCCCTGCTCTACCTCTCTAGCCTCTCTCTCTCTATCTGTCCCTTCTTCAGCTCTCTCTCTGCTCTCTCCTCTCGCTATTCGGTTCGCTCTCTCTATCTACGCCCTCTGTTTCGCTCTCTCTCGCTCTCGATCGCTCTCCGCTCTTCCCCTTCTCTCTCATTCCCTATCGCTCTCTTCGCTCTCGCGCTCTCTCCGCCTCCTCCCCTCGCTCTCTCTCTCCTCTTCGCTCTCCTCGCTCTCGTCGTCTCTCTCTCGTCTTCTCGCCTCTCTCTCTCGCCCTCTCTCCTCTCTCTTCCCTTCTCTCTCTTCCCTTCTCTCTCTCTCTCTCTCCTCATCTCTCTCTTCGCTCTCTACTACTCTCTCGCCTCCCTCGGTTCTCTCTCTATCTCTCTCCCGCTCCTCTCGATCTTCTCTGCTTCCCCTTCTCTCTCGGCCCATATCCTCGCTTCCTCCCTCTCCTGCTTCTCTGTCTCTCTCTCTCCCTGCTCTCTCTGCTCTCTCTATCTCTCTCTCCTCTCTCCGCTCTCTCGCTATCTCTCTCTCTCCTCCCTCTCTCTCTCTCTTCCCGTCTCTGGCTTCCCTCGTCTCTCTCTTCCCCCTTCCGTCTACTTCCCTTGCTCTCTCTTCCCTCTCTCTCTCTCTCTCTCTTTCTTCTCGCTCTCCCTCTTCTCTCTCTCTCTCTCGCTCTCTCTCTTCTCTCTCTCCCTCTTTTCGTCTCTCTCTCTCTCCCCTCTCCTCATCTCTCTTCCCTTCTATCTACTTCCTCGCTCTCTTCCTCTCTCTCTCTCTCCTATTCTCGCTCTCTCTCCTCTCTCCTCTCTCTCTCTTCTTCTCTCTGTCTCTCTCGTCTCTCTCTCTCTCTCTCTCTACACTCTCGTCTCTCTCTTCCCTTTCTCGCTCTTCCCTTCGACGCTTCCTCCATCTCTCTCGTCGCGCTATCTCTATCTTCTCGTCTCTCCCTCTCTCTCTCTCTCTCTCCTCTCGTCCCCTTCTTCTCTCTCTCTCTCTCTCTCTCTCTCCTCTCTCTCTATCTCTCTCTCTCTACTCCCTTCCTCCTTCCCTTCCCTCTCTCTCTCTCTCTCTCTCTCTCTCTCTCTTCCCTTCCCTCTCTCTCGTCATTGGAGAGAGAGAGATCACTAAAACAATGTGCGGTTAAAATTGGCAACAAGCAAACAGACTTCTTCTCTACAGGGACGTGGCGTGAAACAGGGCTGCCCAATAGAAGTCCACCACATTTAAACATCTAACATTGATTAATTGTGGCAAGAACATTAGAAGAATCTCAGCACCTGTGTCACCCACCCTACACAACCTGCAATCAAGTTCTGCCCTGTACGCAGATGACCTGGTGCTACTGTCTCCTCTGCCCCCTAAGGAGGGGTTTACAGCAGCATCTAATCACTGCACAGGTTCTGTCTGTCAGAGACTGGGCCCTGACCGTTAATTAAAAAACCCGAATAGAATGATATACCGAAAAAGGTCCGGAAATCAGGATGACAAATATAAATTTTTTTCCCCCCAAAATTTGTGGACAACAGTTTAATTAGAAACACAACACACCAAAATTAACACATATATACGACAAATATCAGAAACACCAGGTAGGCTTTTTTCCCCACATGCTGTGATGAGCTGAGAGACCATAGCAGAAGAGCAAATTCTATGCCATTTAAAAGGAATATAAAAGCTAAATTCCAATTAGAATCTCTGTCTGGCTCAAACATTTTCCATCAGTTATAGAATTCAATTTCTTTCTTTCTCTATTGGGCAGTGAAGTTGGCGTCCTCCTCCGCATCTCTAATCCTGGAATTTAACCAAATGGACAAACATCCAATCAAAATACTGCAAATGCAGAGTTTTTCAAGACTGTATTGCAAGTTGCAAAGAAAAACAAAATACGCATGTAGAGCAAATTGGGTTGTGGCCATACCCCCTCCTTATTCGAATTAGAAAAGAGCCGCAAATTTTAAACTACCATCTACAAACCAAGTGACTTCCAACACTTTCCATCCCAAACAGCTCTACAAATGTCAGATAGAAACAGAAAAGAGTCCCCTCACAGCCATCTGGTTCTGAGCTCAGTTCACACTAAACCACTAACCCAAACCAACCCCATATAGCCTCATGACAGCACTCAGAAAAATCTAGCCCAGCCAAATCATCACAAAGCAAAAAATAAAAAATATATCACCTATTGGAAAGACACCACAAAAAATCAAAGTAAACTTCAATGCTATTTGGCTCTAAACAGACAGTACATGGTGGCAGACCATCTGACCACTGTGACTGATAGAAAACTGAGGAAATCACTGACTAGGTACAGACTCTGTGAGCACAGTCTGGCTATAGAGACCGGTCGTCACAGGCAAACCTGGCTGTCCAGAGAGGACAGGCTGTGCTCACTCTGCCCCCGGGGAGAGGTAGAGACAGAGCTGCATTTCCTATTACACTGTGACAAATACTCAGACCTAAGAGAATCTTTCTTTCCCAAAATTATCATTCAGTACAAATAATTTGAAACTATAAATAATTAAGGAAAAATCAAATATTTATTGGGTGAACAGCCACAACCAAGGGACAGCCAGTGAAAAATGTAATGTAATGTCAATAATATTTCCTCTTTTGTTTTGGCTTTCATACCATGTCATGTGTCTTCTCAGTCATGTTGAGATTGGTCGACTACTATTGCTTTAATGTATTGTTATTCTCATTAATATTGTTGTTGTAGTTGCTGTTAATGGTAATCCCATTTCCACTACTACTATTATTATTGCTGTTGGTCCCACCATTTTTGTTATATACAGTGTATATACTTTGACAATGTAAGTAATTTAACTTGCCATGCCAATAAAGTATATTGAATTGAATTGAATTGAGGAGAGAGAGAGAGAGGAGGAGAGAGGAGAGGAGAAGAGAGAGAGGAGAGAGGAG